AGAATAGAATAGAATAGAAAAGAGGTAATTACTGAAGGGTGGGTGGGGCAGTGTTGGTCTAAGTGTCCAAATTTCCAATGATACCATGTGTAAATGCTGGGGATTAAGTATACAACATTGCTCTTATATAATGTCACTGTCAAGTATATAATATACTATTGTTAAGAGAGAATAGATTGTAAATCTTCCTACCACAACAAAGAAATAGTGGTTGTGTGCAGGTGATGGAAGTGTTACCTGGCCCTAAGGGTCTTTTTTTTCTTTTTGTTAGTTTTATCCATTTTGGCAGTATGTGTTGTATCAGATCATGCAGGGTTGGTTCAATGCCTTTAGGCATTGAAATAGATAAATAGAAATGAAAGGGAAAAAGAAATGTGTTAAGTCCATGGTTTATGATCTGCCTGTGGAATTGAGACTGAATTTGTGAGCTGGTGACCTTTGATTGTCCCCCTGCAGTTTTGAGCCTCAGTTACCAGTTCAAGTTTGAGTCACCCTTCTCTCCAAACTTATCCCCTTTCATTGCCTTGCGTATTACATTTCTCTGATGATAAATTTTACCTACCCCTTTAAAAAATGTTCTTGGGTAAAATCCTAGTCAACCTTTTAAGTCCTCTCTCTGATTGTAATGTGTTTTCTGACATGTCCCCTCACCCTGCCAAAACTATTCTCTCTGCTAGTAGACAGTAGATACAGTTTGTGCCCCTGCAATTATCACTGCTCACATATGTGTCTTGAATGAATTCTGTCAGTGGCACCTTGCAGTTGGCCTTTTGTATTGATCATGCCATGAAAAAACACAAGAGGAACATCTGGCAGGGAGAGCTGCCCTATTTTGAAATTGAGCCTATGCAGAGCTAAACCTTTTGACTACTCTTTAGATAAACTTTTGATACACTTTTACTTTTATCACAGTTAGCTTTTCATTGATGCCACTGAAGGAAATAGGACAAAACAAATTTTTGGATTTTAATTTTTAACTGCATTCTGTGCTCACTTGGTTAGAGTAGTGAAGTGGTAGATTTCTTGTCTCTGTGACATTGTTTTTCCTTCAGCTGATAATTTCAGTTATCTGAACCTGCGCCATGACTATTAAGTCAGTAGATAGTTGGAAAAGGATGAATTCATTTATAAATTGAAATCAACTAGAGGTAATTAATTTTGAGTAAGCCACATAGAAATATTCTAGGGTTGACTTAATGGCATCTTAACATTCCTTAACATGACACATTCACTTGTGTCATGGAAAGGACATGAGTTAAATAAGTCCTGGAATAGTTGAAGAACTGTATTTTTGAGATTTCATGTGAGTTCTGTTCTCTGGATTATTCACTCTTTTGATCACTTCTCAAATTTATGTTCCAGGTCCGGACCCTATTTGTCAGTGGTCTCCCCCTCGACATCAAACCTCGGGAGCTCTATTTGCTTTTCAGACCGTTTAAGGTACCTTTCTTTAATCTTTCAAAAATTGTAAAGGAAACCATATTTAAGCTTCACAGGAAGCTGGGGGTGGGCAGAAATGTGGACTGGTCATCTTAGCCCAGGAGATAACCTAGAAGTCATTAAGTTCAAGGCCTGCGTGTAAACTCATTGGCAAGGACTTGTCTGCAGCAGTGCTGGCTGGGGCCACACTGATGGAAGGTGTTGCAGCGGACTCCCAGTCAACAGAGGCAGGGCCGTTTTAGGGACACCATCTAGACTCTCAGGGAGAGGAGGGACTAGGATGTGACAGCTGCAAACAGCTGGATAGGAAAAGAAGCAGGGAGGTTGGCGGTCAGCCAGTTACAACAGTGAAGATAAAATAGAGTCCATTGTGTGCCAAGAAGTCACCTTGTCATAATGGATGTGACCCCATTCTAACAGCCCCCTTAATATAAAAGTCATGATGACTGTACAGTGGGAAGCAGAAAGGCTGGACCTGAGATCAGCTGAGAGGAAGTGGAAAAGAAAGCAAGGTATTGAGAGAGGGCACCAACTTCATAGAATTTCATGAGTTTTTTCTTCGGGGTTGCAGTTTTTACTGCCCATCCCTTTTGCAGGTGAGGACTTTTGAAGCTAACTGTTCTTCTAAAAGAACAAAGCTTTCTTAAATTTTTATAAATATATAGAGAAAAAGATTCAGCCAGCAAGCCCAGCAAGCCCATGTATGAATTACCTCATTCAGTTTGCCTCAGATTGGGCTCATTTTTCAAATAAGTAAAATAAAACTTGGAGCTCTTAAATAAGTTTTGCCCAAAATACACACATAATAAATGACAGGATTCAAACCTGCAGCCTGATTCTGCCATCCCTATTCATATTTGTTATGTGATGTTATTTCTCTTTGGGTCTTGAGCACAATATATCCCCACCAGTGGTGGTATACTTAAGTGAAATATCCATTTGTCCTTTTCCTCTGAGGCCCTTTAAGGTGTTTAAACCTCCAGGTCTTTCTGAGAGAGCACCTTGAAATGGAAGAGGCAGGGCTGTGAATCATGACCTCTCTGGCCAAAAGAACTCAAGGCCTCTGAGGTAAAATGTTTACAGTAGCTAATTGGTAACATAGTTCTCTGCTGGGAAGATAGGAGAATGAATCAATCCCAACATCCTGCCCAGAAACCCAACGCTAGAGTCAGGACCCCTCGTACATTCCTAACAACTTTGTTTTAATTAAAGTCCCTGGAAGCTGACCCTCGTCTGCAAATCTCTCTCTGCACTGATGTGCAGTGGCCAGTCATGTCAAGTGGTGTTTTTCCCCTCTTGTGACATCCATCAGCAAACCACCAGCCATTGATTATTTTCAGAAATAAACACTTTTTGTTATCCTTATCCAGAGGAGCCAGGAGGGGTGAGAGTCTGTAAGGGAGAGTTTCTATCACCTTGAGGATGAGCTAGAGTAAAAACCCATAGAGAATTTTTGCATGTCCCAGTCAGAATACCAATATGAAAATTGGCTGCTACTTACTAATAAGCAAAAGAACTCACAACAGTTTTGCATCACTGCCTGCTTTAAATCTTTCTGGAAGTATTGAAATTTTGATAAAGTCATAACAAGTACATTTTATAATGTTGCTTTATTTTATTGCAAATGAGCCATCACCATTCTCTGACCTTCCTCTCTTACTGAGCTTAGTTCTCTAAAATGGAAAAAGATCCACAATTGACAGATACCCATTTTTCTGCCACTACATATTTAATGAAAAAAAATTATTTAAAAAGAAAGATTATTGCATGGATTTTAGGGCTTGATTTTATATACAAGCATAGGCATTTGTGTGTGTTTAAGGGGTGGGTCATTTGCTTTCCCAGTAAACTAAGAAAACACTTGTAGGAAGAATTAAATAGTTAGCATCAAGGACTCACTAATTTTTCACTTGAACAGCTGCTATATTACAATTGCAATTTTTTTCTGGTCTGAATATTGTTCTTCATTTTCAGGGCTATGAGGGTTCTCTTATAAAGCTCACATCTAAGCAGGTAAGAATGTCAGACTTGTATATAATTGATCATTTTTATATTGACCTTGATTTGGCTTTCTTCAGGATTGTAACTGGCTGGAAATTCTTTTTAAATTTCCATTGGAGTTTGACTTTGTTGCTTTAAATTTTGCATGAGATGGGTTAGGATTTAGCTCAGGAAAATCATTCATGATATCTTAATTTCAGGACGTCAGATAATGCCTTGAGCATATTTATATGGGATTAATTTATACATTTAAAAGGAATTATTATCCAAATTGGCTTTTAGTCCAAGTCCTTGACTTTTTTTAATTATAAAGTTAAATAGGCAAGCTTTCGTAGTTGGTGAGAATATTAATAATGAGGAATTCATACTGCCTTTCAAATCCCTTAGTCCCAAGTCTAGAAGTGACCCAATCTTTCCAGAAAGCTTTTGGACATTTTTAGCTATGTTTTTGTGTTGGACAGTGAGTATGCTCCTCTGCCAGCTACTTTTCCTTTCTTTGAGGTATTCTTTGTTTACTGAGAAATAGGCTGTGTTGCAGACACTCTTTTGGTTTGAAAAGGTAGTGTGGTTTGCTTGCTTGATCATGATCAAACACAGGACTTTTTAAAGACATCCCTTGGGATTGGAGATGGAAATGTTCATTGTAAAATTTTGATCTTAGCAAAAACTACGGGGACATTATCACTGTCATTGTATTCCTTGCACTTACAGTGTACTGAAAGGTGATTTGGTTCTCTTTCCATTTTAAAAGATGAAGAAACCGAGGTACAGTGAATTTAATTTAGGAAAGTAGAGCCTCTTGACCCAAGTTTTTCTTTTGTTCACTGCTGCCTACCTTCCAACCCCTGCTAGATTTTATTTTTTATGATTCTTTTAATCCTCAGCTGTGCCCTTGAAGAGCCACCTTCACTGTACCTTTGATTCGTGTTAGAAATTTGGCCAAGGCACTGAGTCATGATTCTTCTGGACTGGCTTTCTTATTTCTACCCATTGCCTGTGGTCAATTGTTTATCTTAGCTGTTCAATTTGACATCACCTTTGGTCCAGAAAAATAAGACATCCCTGATTTATTTTTCCCCCCTCTTATTTCTTTTTCTTTCCTCAGCCTGTAGGTTTTGTCAGTTTTGACAGTCGCTCAGAAGCAGAAGCTGCAAAGAATGCTTTGAATGTGAGTACTGGTGATGGAGCATTGGGGGTTTCCTTGTGTGGTGGTGGGAGGATGGAACCTCTTGGGATGGGGCTGTAGATGGAATGCCATTGCCCAGTGTAAGAGAAGAGGAATCCATCGGTTTAATGAGCCCTCTAAAAGAGATGTTTCCTAGAACTGTGGTCAGAAGTGCAGAGTGTTATATAATAGTTGACTTAGTAGCTTTTAATGCTGAAGTTACTCGATGGTGTAGGCTTTACTTTAATTCAGCCAAAGTCACATTTCACGGTACTGTCCTGTTCATTTGAACACTTTGCACTTGGTGACTAAAACAAGAAGAGATGAGAATCTTGTTTTTTCTTATCTCATGAGCTCACATTAGGCATGTCACTTTTTTTTTTTTTAAATAGGCCATAGCTTTTCTGATTAATCAATCAACTCCCATATGACTTCCCTGAAAGGCATTCTGCATTGTGACATTATAAATGACTGTAACTGAGCCATATTTAAGGAGAGAGGTCTATATTTGGTTTGTAAGCATTTTAAACTGCTGTATGTTTCGAAGTTTTTAACCTCCATTGACCCCCCACCCCTGAGAAACAAACCAATGCAAGGGAATCAAGCTGAGAGAGGTAGAAGGAAGCAATGTAATCCTGGAGTTTAGGGCTAGACTGATGTTTAACTGGGTTGTCTTGGGTCTGGTTCCATCCTGCTCCTGCCAGTTGGCTCAAGAATCTGTGAATGAGCAAGATTAAAGCAGCCAAAAGTACTTAGGTGCTTCTGGAAAGGCAAGTGGCCTTTCCAGTTCACTGGCTTGTAGTCCAGTCAAGACTGACTATAGCTGAGTGTCTTTGTGTTGCTTCAGCGAAATTGTGTTGCTGTGGAAACCTTACAGGTGCCCCTGCCAGCTTCAATTCTTAGTGTCTGGATGCTATTGTAGGCATGCTGAGGGGAGGAGAGAGAGACCCGATAGCCTGGTGATGGGCAGGCCCAAGGGAAAGCTTTTATATGGGTCTGTTCACTCAGCATAATTGTGGCATTATGGCATAATCTTGAAAAGGTCTTAGGGTTTGGGGAAAAGTATATATATTCTTAGAAGAAATGGCTTTCTTGTTATTATTGCCAGGTGGTGTTTTTTTTTTTTTTTTTCCATGAATAAATGTGAACATTTTAGGATTCCAAGAGCCCTGGATTTGGATAAATCACCTGGTCAGAACTGATTATTCATTCTGTTTCTCTCACAGAGGCTTAAAAATATAAACCAGTTATTTATTAAGTACTGGTAGTACTAGTACTAGTAGTACTGAGCATTAGTGTATACTGGGGTTATTTTAGTAACTTTTGCATTACACCAAAGTTAGAATTTTCTCAATTTAGCCAAATTTTAACCTTAAAAATAAAACCATGATTTCTATTTAAGCATTGTTTTCTTTCAGTTTGACTTATTCTTGTAAAAGAAGTGACTGTACTAGGGTGGTGGCACAGGGGTGATCTGGTGATGGGGAAACCCGCGGGGATTACAATCCAGATGGAAAAAAAAATGTGCAAAATGATGTAAAAATAAACTTTGTAATAAAAAAAAAAGTGACTGTAGTTGATGATGTTTGCCTGATGGCAGAATGAAGTCTCCATTGTATTTAATCTCTGGTCTGTGTAGAAAGATGTTACTGATGCACTGTCTATGAAGAACAGTAGACTTTGATAGTGACCTTTCTAACAAAGGCAATGTTACCTTTTATTCTAGATTGGTTTTTAAAAAACAGATAAGTTCATTTGAGAACTTTCCTGGTAGCCTAGGGGTTAAGTCACAGCGCTGTCACCACTATGGCCTAAGTTGGATCCCCAAACAGGGAGCTGTTAACCCACCTCTAGTGCAGCAGACCTCCTGTCTAAACTGCCTTTCCCCCTAGCAGTGTATTTCTGCTCTCCACTCTGTCTTGGGTGAATCCTCTCACGCCCCACACCTCTGGCCTGCACACCAGTTCTTCTATGCAGAAAAAAAAAGTTTTATTTTAAAATGTTTAAGTGATCATACTCAAAACCTGTATTTCCTTGCCTTACAGAGCATAGTATGGTGACATTTCAACTTTTTTTTGGGTGCCAACGGATTTATAATTTCTACAACAGATAATGAACCATTCCCTGACATAGTTGTGGAAGATTTTAAACACATTCCCAAACCAACTGGCCAGGCATCTTTACACTTTTGTGTCTAAAGGTTTTAGGTTCTTGTGCTCAGCTCTTTTCACTGGCAGTGAGCTTTCCCTTAGCATCATTTCTCTCCCTTAATCATTAATGATGTTTGCTGCTCATCTATTAATAACTTGGGAAGAACTTTTAAGAGAAGCAGGTCTAATTTTGCTTGTTCCGTGAACCTCAGGGTACCTTATAAATTTTGTGCTCAGAGGCTCAGTTGTGAGTGCAGTGCATTTGCTGAGCTCTTGGTTGATCTTTCTCCATATTGTTAACTTTCTATTTGTAAAGTAGTGGAGGTGTTTGTGTATTATTGTTAATTCAGAAAACTGAGATGTAGGGAAAGATGGATGGCTTAGTTGAACAGTAAATTTAGAATGAAAGTTGCAAATATGTCTGTTGGATCGTAGTCCTGTCATTTTACATAACATCTTGTTGTTTGACCTATAGAATGCTGACTATTTAATCCACGTTGTCCAGGAGAAATGGCCACAATAACATTTGATATGTGTCAGTGGGGCAGGGTTTCTTTCAGAGAAAACAGACCCTTTCTGGATAATGGACGTATTCATGAAACCTGTCATTTAAAAAATTTTAAGGGTAATTTTTTATAATTGAATTAAAAACATAACTATGCTCACAACTATTACATGTTTCTCTTGTGCCATTTATTCAGGCTCTCCTAAAGCTTTTCCTCACATTCCTTTGGGGGGAAATTTCATGTTGTAAGTTTTGTTTTATTCAACCATCAAGAAACTTAAACTGGGCCCTCCCTGGTGTCCCTGCAGCTTAAAAGCACAGCACTAAGAAGCTTAAGCCACTTTCGCATGAGTTCGATCCCCACCTGCCCCGAGGTGATCCACATGGCATGGCAGACCTCTCCTGACCCACCCTCCCACTGCTCCCCTCAGCAATGTTCTTTATCAGTCGGCCTGTTCTGCTCCCCACTGTCTCTGGTGAATCCTCTTACTGCCCCTGCACCTCTGGCCTGTACCCCAGTTCTGTAATGCATAAATCTTTAAAAAAAAAAAAAGAAACTTAAACCTCTATCTTGTAGTCTTCTAGTGGCTTCTATATTACAGTTAGGTGTTATAAGGACTTCTCCATGTCTGGAGCTTCTACTGTTGTTTTTAACTTGAGTACTATAGTTAACTACTAGTAGTAGTATTTTCACAGAATGTGTAATTTTTAAATTCATGTATATTTTCTTATTATGCTTTAGTCAGTTTGATGATTTTTTGGGAAAAATACTCAGGTTAATTAAAAGGTAACAATGAACTTTTATCAGGTGATAAAATATGATTCTTGGAAATATGATACACTTTGTTTTCATAGCCAAAACTCTCAAAGCAAAAAACCCAAACCCAGACATCCCTTCAGATTATCTGTGGTTCCATTAATCCCCATAATTAGAAACCCCATCCATTCTTTAACCTGACAGCAAAGTATCTGACCTGTCACCCTTCGCATACTTTTATAATTTCTATTCCAACATTTTCCCCTTTTCCATGATAATGGAAGAGTAAGTTTATAATCCAAATTATTGAATTATATTTAGTTTTGAAATTTTGGAACGTAAATCAAATACAGTGGCATTGAAGAATTCACTTAGTTTAATAAAAATCTGTAGAGATTTTCAGGGTGACACAGAAAGAAGGACAAGGCTAAGGGTAAAGACCTTGAGCAAAGGTAGAAATAAATGGTCTGGCTTTTCCTGTGAACCGTGAAGACCTCCTCCTTCCCTCAAATCCCTACTGTTGCCTAGTGAAATTGTGTTTTAACAAACAAGTGTGATTTGTGATTAATGGCCTGTTGTGAACAGTTCATATCAGGCATTGTCTCACACTGGTTTTGGGGATCGCTCAAGTTGGAGTACTGTGAAAGGTTGAATGTCAGCTACCAAATGTTTGTCATTTGTTCTCTAAATAGTTACTATTCGGTGGTATTTTAACATGGCATCTAACATACAGCAAAGCGAAAGAAATCTGAGGGAGCCAGACTAGATCACTACTAATTATCTTCACAACTCAATGGCTTGGACTAGCACGTATTCTTAAACTAGACTCATTGAAGTAAATGATCTCTAATTATCATGGTACCCCCGTATGCAATGAGTTCTTTTAAAATTGGCTTCATTGAGTTATAATTCATGTACTATATGTACATTTAAAGTATATGATTTAATGCTTTTGCTGTTACATTTTCTACATAATATATATAACAAATGTTGCCAGTTTAATGATTTTTTTTAAGTGTACAATTCCACTCATTCAGGCATGAATTTCTTTTGTTGTCTAGCACCACCAGTACCTAACTTGGTACTTGGCTTCCATTTCTCCTCACTTGCCCCTGATAACTTGTGATCTTTTATTAATTTGCCTATGCTGGGAAAAAAAGTAATTTGCTTACTATAAATGTTGAATATTTTCCTTTTCCCATCTATTTTCTTTCAGCATGTTTTTTTCAGATTCCTCCATGTTGTAGCATATATGCAACCACGGTTCCTTACATGACTGAAGAACATTCCATTCCATTGTAGTGATACATCACATTTCATTGAACATGTCTATTTGTTGATGGTCTGTTGGGTTGTTTAGATTTTTTGGCTACTGTGAATAATGGTTTGGTGAACATTGGTGTACATGTGTCTATTAACAGGATCACTGTTTTTGATTCCTAGGAGTAAAATTGCGGAGTTACGTGGTTATAGTAATCACATTTTTGTTTGAGCAACCTCCAAGACATAGAAACTGTCATTTTACATTCCCACCAGCAGGATGTGAAGGTTCCTATTTCTCTATTTCCTCTCCAAACTTAAGTTTGTTTTA